AGGGGGCAGGGGAGGGGGAGAGGAAGGCACAGCGGACCCCGACAGTCCGTCACCCACACTGCACCATTAGATACACCCAGAGTCGCACACACCTGATGGGTGTGGACAAAGGCGGACACAAAATCACACTCACAGACAACCATCCAGAAACATGCAGAGGCCTCGAGATGCCGACATGTACACAAATGCACACTCACAGAGACACACACAAGAGGTGAAGACACATGTACCAATCTCACACACACACACACACACACACACACACACACACACACAGCAGGGGGTAGGTTATTGAGGCAGGAGCCACATGGGAGGGAACCTTTGGCATCCAGAAAGTTCAGTCTCCTCTGGGGGTTATGAAAATGCCCTTGCNAGCCGAAACCAGGCAGACACACAGAGACAAAATGGTTTAATTAAGCCCGAATCACAAGACTGGCCCGTCATATTTCAGCAATCACATCGTCTTTCTGGGGTGCTTGGGAAGGATGGGGGCTGGGGGTGAGGGAAGAAACCACATGCGCGCCCGCACAACAGCGACGGGCCCCACCAGTGTGAGGATCCCAGCAGCGCCAGGGGAGAAAATGCTAAACAGGGATTTTGAGCTCTGTTCAAGGGGGACTTGAGGGGAAAGTTGGGAAACCAGCCAATTCCCCACCGGATTTAAAACCTGAGAAATCTAAGTCGGCAGGGTTAAATGTGTATTGAATACAAAAGCACCGAGTACATTTGATTTTAATGGTGAGCAAGAAGTAATAAATACAGAGCTTACAAAGCGCTTCTCATGTAGCCGAGCACAGCCTGCCTCTCCCCGCACGCCCGGCCCACGCCCCTCAGTCCACCAGACACCAGCAAGGCTTTCTTCTGCTTTGGCCTTTTTCTATTTTTAAAAAGAAAATCTAAATCCTCTGGCAACATCTGAACTCCAGCTACAGGTGCCAGGCTACAAAGCTCCTTCCAGAAAGGCTGGGTGCCTGGTCTCCATGCTCTGCCATGCTGGGCCGGTGGCCGCTCTCCTGCCCAGAACGTCCGCAGCTAGGTGACCTGGCAAAGCCCAGCTGGAGGCCAGAGGCTCCTGACGTGGGAGCTTGTCAGGCCATCCTCTTTGAGGTCCTTGAGGGGTTCCATATCCCATGTCTTCCAGGTTCACCGCTAGTGTACAGTGGTGCTCCCCGGACATGTTTGCATAGTGCAGTGGAGAGAACAGACCCAAGGGCACTGGGGACCACAGGGCCCAGAAAGCACAAACCAAGGATTCCCAAAGTAACCCACAATGACCCTGCTTGGCAGAGGGTGTTCGGAGTGGGAGAAGTTGAGTATACATGCCCACTTTATGCCAGGGACTGTGCTAGGCACTAACCACATATGACCTCATTACCCTCACCAGGTAGGTGCTGCTAACTAGGTGATGAAACTAGGGCTCAGAGAAGGTAAGTGTCTTGCCCAAGTGACACAGCCAGTTAGTGGCCAAGCTGTGATTTAAACCAGGGCAGGCCTCTCTGACGTCAAAGCCCAGGAGAGCTGGCTCTGCTAGCACGCTCCCTCTTTGGTGCACCATAACCTAGGGGGAGCAAGAGGAGTGTAGCCCCGAGTGTGGGGCTAGCTGCCTCCTGCTCCAGTACAGAGGAAGGCTTTTATCAGGGCCACGTTTGCATTCCCATGCCCTTAGTTGCTAGAGGATGTGGCTCCTCTCTACCCCACTCTGCAACAGTGCCCACACTGGCAAGATGACAGAGTCGTCTCCAACACCAGACAACCCTGACCTGCATGGCACTTTCTAAGAGTCCCTGCTTGCCTTGAGTCCCAGGGCTCTCTCGGGAATTCTGAGCACTACCTATTGGATGGCTTCGGCTTGGGCGAGGCTGCCTGGTGAAGGGCAAGGAGAGGCAGGGCAGAGGCAGGACTGGGCTCAGAGGTTGACTGGGCCTCTTACCACCTCTGTGGTCTCAGCTGCAAATTGGGGAAACAGCACCTGCCTCCTCTAGGCTGCTGTAAAACAAATAATTATACAAGTACTAGCACAGTCCCAGGCACATAAAAAGTGCTCAATAAATGTTAATTCTCTTCACCCCTGTATCCCTGCCAGGACCTAATACTGCCCTGGAGACTACACAGAAGCCCAGCTGGCTGCTGGTTACTGTTTCCTCAGTGAAGGCTCTGCCACGTACTTTATACTAAGACGGACTCCACGGAAACAGAGATGGAGCTCCCAGGACCTTGGCGTGCTGGAGAGAGCATGGGTTCTCGAGTCTGGTGACTCCTATTTGCAGCTGAGGGACTTGGGCCAGGTCACCAAGCATCGGTTTTCTCATCTCTAAACTGGGTGGAAATAGTGCCTCTGTCACAGAGAGACTGTGAGGTTTAACCAGACAATCTGCCTGAGAATGATCTGCTGACTAGAAAAGTCCTAGTGAATGATAGTTATTGAGAAACTGTGTCACTCCCTAGAAGTTGTAAGATTAAAAAACCCATTAGGAAGACCGAATGCTACTGTGAGTCAGGCACTGTGCTGGGGACTTTACAAATGTCATCTGCGCTCAGGCTCACAAACCCCTCTGTGAATGAGGGTATATTACAGAGAGAAGTGGGGCTCAGGGAGCTTCAGGACTCGCCCCAAGCCACACAGCTCTGGTGTCCAGCCTAGCTCTATCTATGCCCCCATCCCTGTTGCTAATGGCTGTACTGAAACTCACTAGGTTACACAAGGTGTGACCCAGAAGCGGCCGTCTGTCCCCACACCGGTTTCCTTGTGCCTTTCTTCCAGACAGTGAGGGATGCATTCCAGCCCCTGGATGGCTGTGCCGACCCCGCGTGAGTGGGAACAGGAGAGGCATCCTAACCCCCAACCTCCACCCTCGCCCTCTTCCTCCCCCACATGGCAGGGAAGGGAAGGGAAAAAGTACCCTGGAGCTTTCCCACATCCACACAGAGAACTGCCACCCCACTAATGCTGGGTGTGTACCGAGGACTAAGAACAGACACAGTTCGGCCTGGCCACCTGCACCCTCAGCCGCCACTTTCCACAGATGGATTTGGACACGTGCACTGCAGAGGGCGGGGAGGGGGGGGCGGGCGCTTGGACGCCCATCTGTGGGAAACCCTGGTTGCAACAGGGCGAGAACCTGACCCTGTTTGCAGGAGTGGCCGAGGTGGCCGCTTTGAGCACGAGCATGAGACAGAGACACACTTCTCTTGGTAAACGGCCCTCACCAAACGGTCCTGGCAAGCTTCCCACTTCAAAGGAGCCCGCTAGAGTTATTATGCCTTAGGTCGGCCAAAGTCTGAGCTTATAAGGAAAATGACTTCACCGCAGCTGAATGTGGGACCCACATATGTATTTTTCCACAGCATTTCTCTAAAAAGCACTGATGGGTCTCCCTCTCTTGCCTACCCCTTTGCCAGGTGTGGGGGGTTTATCATGTCATCACATGGGAAGGTGAGCTCCATGTGAGGCCCACCCGAGGAGCACCTGTCTCTGTCTGAGCTGCGCCACATTCTCGGGGTGTAGCCTCCACCCTTGGGAGGGACATCAAGTGAATTTCCAAACCCCGTCTGGCAGGGCCAAGCCCCTGCTGCCGACTTTGTGAGAAGAGGTGGTGGGAGCAAGGCTTTGAAGCTCATTGGCCAGACACACAGATCCACCTAGATCGGCTCCAGCGCTGCACACATGGCAAACACACCACAATACCCCCCGAGACCTCCACCTCTGACCTGCAGGTCCCTAAACTGCTTCACGAGAAGGAGAGAGAAGCCCAGAAAATGCAAGTTCGGTTCATGCCACGCAGAGAGGGAAGCTGGAAACCCCAATCCCCGGTTTTCTTTGCAAGGCAGCCGAGTTCACACGCCCGGGGAGGTTTAGTCAGGCGGAGACAGCGGCCCAGGCAGTGTTAGGAGGGAGGGCAGAACCACCGGCTACTCACGGGCCTCGAGCGCTGTATCTTGGGAGGCGGCGGGCGAGTGGGACGGAGGAGTCTTTGTGGCTGTATCAAAGCGAAACTTACAACATCAGTACACACGGAGATGTTCGATGCATTTGCACACACGGCCTGAGAGCAAGCATCCAGTCTCCCAGGCCACCGCCCGCGGGCCACCCTCGACGCCACCTGCTCCCTGCCCTCACATCAACTGGTTGATCCCTGGGTCCTACACATTCCATTTCTGAGGCCCCCCATTCTGCTAATTTCTTCATTCTAGCCTCACCCTTGCCTGGATCTCCTCCAGCCATTGTCCACATGGGCCAGGGGGGATCTGCCAAAGTGTAATATGACCGTGCCACATTCCAGCTTGGAGACTTCTGCTGCAAAACCCCTCCCCATCTGCCACCCATCCTTGGGTGACAGCACAAGGGTCTCGGCTGGCATTCCAAACCCTCCAAGACCTGGGTTCTGCCGAGCCCCACACAGATCCTTCTCACCCATGCTTACCTGGGCAGACCCCCAAGTGGCCCTGGGTTCTCATGCCTTGTTTCCTGCCTGCCCTATGGGTGGGATGCCCTACCCAATCCTGATCAGCCTGGCAAACATCTACTTGCTCTTTAAGACTCTGTCCTGGTCAGATCCAGAGACATTGACATCTTCTGGGCTCCCTGCTGCCTGGGACTTCTCACAAACAGGAAGTGCCTGCCCCACCTCCCATTATCTTTCTTTCTTCTTAATTTTATTAAATTTACTGGATGATATTGGTTAATAAAATTATACAGGTTTCAGGTGTACAGTTCTGTAACGCATCATCTGTGTATAGCACTGTGCTCACCCCCCCAAGTCAAGCCTCCTTCCGTCACCATGCACTTGAGCCCATTACCTCGCAAATGTTTAAATCCTTGGGCCTTGGAAAAAAACATATGCCCAATAAATGTCTGATGAACAAATAAAATTTGTATAAAATGCTTGGCTGCTGAAATCAGGATTTGAATAAAAAACAACAGAGCACAGACTTCTCGGCTCTATGCTCACGTCCTTTATTTTGGGAGTCAAGCTCTGTCCTTTCAATGATCTGCCCACACAGATGCCCTGAGCAGTGTGGGAGCCGGGCAGAAAGAGTTGGGACAATAAAGACTGAGACCTCGGACCTCAGCGAACCCTGGGGGGCTTCCAGTTGCTTCCTGCCCGTTCAACCATGAGGTTCATGAGGGCACATCATTGTTTGACAAAGCCTAGACCTGCACTGCCCACTTCAGGAGCCAATGGCCACTTGTGGTGAGTCTGAATTAAGATAAAACACCCCTTGGATTTCAGAGGCTTAGCTTGAAAAAAGAATGTAGAATATCTCAGTAATTTTTTATGATGATTACATGCTGAAATGGAAGTATTTTGGACATCTGGGTTAAATATATTAGAATTCCATGTGTGACCCGCATGGATGGCTCCCATAACGTTTCTCTTGGACAGTGTGTTAGAGCTTCAGTTGGCTGGAGGAACCCTTCAGAGAGCAAACCTCAGAACTCATTCTGTGAACCCGGCTCCTGGAGGGGAGGGGCTGAGTGTCCCAGGCACCCCTGGACCCTTGGTGCCCTGCACAGGGCTATCAGAGCGGCCTGCGGGGAAAACTCGCCAAGGGACTTGGTGGAGAACTGGGGTCCTCACGGCACACTGAGAGTTCATCTGGGTGGAAATACAGTGCAGTTTCCCAGATCTTGTGCCATTAACAGGAAGTGTGGGCAAACCTGTGCTCAGTGAGCCTTCTTTAGTTGGGGGCCACCTGGGGTTGAAGATGCCACCCCCTGAGCCTCCCAACTTACACAGTTCATCAGGAGGAAAGCAGAAGAACAGGGGATGGAGAGCCACCCTCCACGGGTGCAGAGGCCACTGCTCCGGTCGGGATGCCCCACTCTCACACACCCCATCTGCCTCCCTCCGCTGGGCCACTAGTTCTCCAGCTCCACAGCCCTCGCTGCTCTGCACCTATGACCTGGCCAGCAGGGGGCAGTGTGGCAGAGTGCTCAGGAGGCGGCCTCTGGGGTGAGACAGCATGGGACTGAGCCTCGGCTCCCCACCTGCCCTCTGAGTTCCTATGGGCCACTGATTTTAATCATCCCAGCCTTACTTTCCTCATCGGTATGTGCAGGTAATGGCACTTCCTACCAGAGAGGGCTGCCAGAAAGACTCAACGAGATGATGCTCTCCAAGATCTCCCCACAGCGCCGCCAGGAGACGTGAGTAACTATCACAGGAGCAGGTCTCCCTGCCTCCGGCCACTCCCCCTCCCAACCCATCTTCCATACTTGTTCCAGAGTGAAGGTAAACAGAACACAACACACGCTCAATCATGTCACTTGCTAGCTTAAATCATCTCGGTGGAAGGCTGGCGTCTCCCGAGGTGTCGTCTGAGAAACACCATCCAGGGAGACGCACCGTGTGAAGGCAGAAAAGGGGGGTTTCCAGCCAGACAAGTCTGGGGAATGCTGTCTACTGTCTTGGTTCCTTTTAGAGCTTCACAATGACTGTCAGCGCAGCAAAGGAAGGCTTTGCAATAAAAAATAAAAAATAGTCCACCCTAAACAGGCAAAACCCTATTAACTCCTTTTAAAAAAACCTTATTAGCATTTATTTTATGAATTCACTCCTGGGCCATAAGCTTTTGTTTCTTCCGTTTCTCCTGGGCTATCTTTTCCTTCTGTGCAGCCTTCTCTCCTGGCTTAGGAACAACCTGCTCTTTCTCAGTAGGTTCACCTCAATGTAGCAAGAGAGCTCACGTGTGGGTTAATCCACCCATGAGCTCTATAAGTTCTGTGCCACATCTTGGGAGCTTTGTTCACCTGCATGTGCTCAATGACCAGGGAACCTATATCTAAACTCGTAAGTTCAGCATCACTCTGCATTTTTAAGCACGTGCAGCAAAAATTCAGCACTTTCTGGGCCACTGACCCTGTGTCCAGCCCTACTGTTTGGCCTGGGCAACCTACCAGCTCTACTACTGTAACGAAGGAATGGCACACATTGCTTCTGTGAAGTGACATCCTTCAGGTACTTGGTGGCTTTTCAGATATGCAAACCCTTGGTGGCCTGGGCAGTTTCACGGGTGAACATGAAGATTTGAAAGCAGCTGCCCTCCTGAAGGTCATGTCAGTCAGGGAAGCAGATTCACCCTACAGGCTGGGAGGATTCCTCCATGCGCTTTTAAGGAACAACCCTGTGGTGTCAGGATGCGGAGAAGACACAGCCTTTATCCTTGAAAAATGGATGGTCTAATGGGATTTAACCTCCATCACAGAAAAATAGCTTTCTTAGAGAGTACAAAGAGTATTTGGGCTAAAACACAAGAACTACAACTTCGGGTTAGAAAGACATGGGTTCACGTCGTGGCTCTGTCGTTTTCTAGCTGCATTCAGTGTTGGCTCTGCCACTTGGGTGAGTTACTTGACCTAAGTCTGTTGACTCTTAACGTGAGTCACAAGCCCTGGTGGGAGGATGCTGCGGGCGTCCAATGCAGCCACGCAAGGCTCCGGGCCGGAGTCCTGATGAGGAAATGGGACCATCAATCCTGTCCTCCCACTGGATCCACACGTCTTCCCGGAGCAGCCCTGTGGCTGTGAGGACCTTGGTTTTCCAAGGGAGTGCACTGTTAGTCAGGCACTGTTGAAGGAGACTGGATTTTAATAGTAATCTCTTCTATTTATACGACACGTTTCCCTTTCAAAGCTTTTCTACTTCTCTTCTTTCCTTTGAGCCTCATGTCCCCTGGTGAGGCAAGTTAGAGAATAATTATTTCCCTGCTATAGAGACAGGAGACAGGAGGCCCAGAGAGGTGAAGGGACTAGTCTGAGGTCACAGAGCTAGTGTTCTCAGTCCATTGTGCTATCCTTGTCAACCCAGATTTCCAAAGTCATCTGGAACCCTTCCTGACATGGCTTTTCTAATCCTGTCCCTTCTGAAGTCACTCTGTTGTCAGGGAGCTGTGCCTTAGAGAAGGGGCTGGGGGAGAGAGTGCCTGCCGTCTTCCCGTCCCTAGCTGAGCATCTCTTCCCGGTGCTTTCCAGACGCACATGATGCATTTGTTCATTCATTTGACAAACCTGGGAGTATGCTCTATATGGGCACAGGGCTCCCACTCTGATGGGGGGGCCAGAGGGGTGCTGAGGTCTGTGGGGGTACAAAGGAGGGCTCTTCTATCAAATGGGGCAGTGGGAATTCAGGTGCCTGGTACAGGGGAACCACAGTGGTCCGACGAGACGAGAGCGACGGCGATTATGAAGACGGAGAGGACCTTAGAGGGGCTGGTGGAGGCCCTAAGTGTGGATCTTCCCCTCAGCACAGTGGGAGGGACATAAGGGGAGGGACATCACAGGTCTTGGTGTCCCTGGTGTAGAAGATGGATGGGAGGACGGGTGGGCTTCTAAGGACAGACACTCCCCTCCAGCCACAGGGGCCTGCCCAGGACTCTGTGTTGCCAGCTCACCACCCAGGGCCAAGTGACCTCTGGGAGATGTGACCACGACGGTGAGCTGGAAAGTGTGACTGACACGGACATCCTGGAGAAGAGAGGAACTCCACGGCCTCTGCTTGGCCCTTGGCGTTTGTATCTGTCAGCTGTGCGGGCCAGGTGAGCATGCTCATTGGATATGAAACCCACATTTATGAGGACAGCATCTGATTTGCAGTTAATTTGTTGATGCAGCAAAACACATTGTATCCAAAAGGTCAGGAGGGGAAGTCCTGCTGGAATATCAACTTAATTACCTGGGCGGCAAGGATGCGTGGGCGTCCTACACAGGGCTGCAGGGTGGAGATCGCTCGGCTGCCAGGAGCTGATTTGAGGCTGATAGTAGTGGGTGCAGTGGGTTAAGGGGGTGGGGCAGCCTACATGGTGGGCGGAGCCAAAGCACTTCTGGTGCCTTGTTCTGGTGCCTAACCAGTAATCTTTTTTTAATTAAAAATATGTCTTTATTGATTTCAGAGAGAGGAAAGGAGAGGGAGAGAGAGAGAGAGATGGAAACATCAATGATGAGAGTCATTGATCGGCTGCCTCCTGCATGCCCCCCACT